AAATATTCCGCATGCGGAGCAGCCCATCCCTAGTGGTGACCCTGTGGAAATAAGTGACAACGTGTATAAATATGGATGTGGAAGTAAAAATAGGAGTGTGAATGAGGAGTTATTCGAAGGATATTAAAGATGACGAATTAAATAAAAGAACTAATCTTGAGATTTCCAAGAATCGTGAGCCTGATAGTAACGTCAATATGAAAATGGATGATAATGGAAAAGACGATGATAGGAAGATGATCTTTGATGAGACGAATGAAAAAATAATAAAACCGCTTAAGAACTCGTTTTTAAAAGATCTGCTAACACCTAATTTTTAACAATTTTTTGACTTAATAAGCCTTCTAAAGTTTTTTTTTTCATTTGCCAATGAAGATGTCTTATAATATTCCTTATAAAAAAAAAATCCTTTGAAATCATTCTGAAATTATCCGATTTTTTGTTTGGAAAATCGAATATTTACAGGATGTCTAAATCCCTATATATAAAAGACATATGCATTATCTTTGATACTTTTCTACGATAATTTAACATTATAAATATCGGCACGTTCAATATTACTAAATTTTCATTTAATACTTACCCAACATGTTTAGCACTGTAGTGTGTTTAATCTGTGCGAAATCATATATATTTCAAATTATTGTAATTTATCGTTATGTATCGATCATTAATTAACCGGATTGGCGAAAAATCATTCGGCGATTTTTATCAGGTGATAAGCTAAGCCACAAAAAAACATATCAGACCCAGACCAGACATGTTCGCAAACTTCGGACCGGACCCGGACCGGACTCGACTCATTATTAAGTTTGAGTTTGGTCTGAAGTTTGAAACTAGTGAAATTTAGAGTTTGAGTCTGGTTCGATCCCGGACCGAACCCGAACCAGACCGAACCCGAACCAGACCGAACCCGAACCAGACCGGACCCGAACCAAACCTAGGAGCACTACTATAAACTAAAACAATATGGCTATTACAAGTTTTAAATAATTTTTTTTATAAAAATTAAAAATTAATTATGCTTAATTAAAAATTAATCAAAAATCAAAATTATATTTAAAAATTCTAAAAGTTTAATATATTAAAATTTAATAATTTTTATATTAGTAATAAAAAATTTAATTCAATTTAATAAAATAGTTATTGAAAAATTAATTGTTAAAATTTAAATTTTGTTATTTTATTGTTTAAAAAAATTTGATATAAATAGATTTTTATTAATTTTACTATATAATTTACAATAAATCATATAACTAAATTAATAAAAACCTGTTTATATTAATTTTTTTTGAACAGAATAAAATAACAATAAAATTTAAACTTTAAAAATTAATTTTTTAATAGCTATTAAATCAAAATTTTTTGTTACTAGTATAAAAATTATTGAATTTTATATACTAAATTTTTTTAGAATTTTAAATACTATTCTGATTTTTTATTAATTTTTAATTGAATCCAATTAATTTTTTTAATTTTTTTATAAAAAAATTATTCAAAACTTTAACTTTTATCTAAATTTTTTTTTATTAATTGAAAATTACCAAAAAATAATATACAATCTAGGCTAATTATTTATTAAATTTTTGAAAAATTACAAAGCTGTAACATCTCTCTGTAAGCGGATATAGATACAGAAAAACTTTTGTCTAGCATTGTATCAACAAACCCACATAATCACTACCCCCAAAGAACATCACTTGCCCTAACATCAGTACTAGTAAAACAACCAAGCTTGTATTGTGATCCAATTATACTAGTTCAAAGAATTAGCATATGATGCTCAAAGTTCTTTCACAAGTATGTCCAGCCCGCCCAGCCACAATAGCAGCAATATTAATCGAAACATGCCGTAATTGGGCTGCCTCACAATGACACCTTCGAGCACCCAATTATACCATGCCAAGGCTGCAACATGAAGAACTCCTGCCTCAGAATAACAAGCCTCAAGCAAATAAGCAAAATATAAACAGTTAAAAAATAAACTAGGAAAACAGACATTATTAAATGCTCGGAGCTAAAAATTTATTAGAGCCACTAGCCAGAATAGAAGCAGACAAATTAAATAAATTTATAATCATCCAATTTAAAAAAAGGTGTCGACACAAAATCTGGTCTATCACCACACCATAGATTGTCCCTCGCTACGCTACGCTCCGGCAATAAATAATACTGTAATAACAATAGTGCAAAATCAACAATAGCACACATATGCACACACATACTTCAACGAGGCGTCAAATAGCTATACACAGATGACTCTACAAAGTAATCACTGGCCAGTAAATGACTAGTTAAACAACCAATATAATGACAACACAAACGCACACCACAAGCGTAGCCAAGCAATGGCGACCCGTCAAGCATCACTCCAATCAACACATAGGCCTATGGCAGAATCGGGACATCTAATTTTTTGGAACAGTCTCCTGATTCTGCCATTTTCCTATTTAACAGCCGGCCTACTTCGAGCAGGCGGGAAACCACCGGCTGATGCTGCTTCTCACTCCCGGGAGCATATCATCGTTTCAGTTCAAATTACTCAGCTCAAATTATTTACAATGTATTCTGCGGACTTAAAGTTCTTTGATTGAATTTATTTCCGACACCTTGGCTAGCCGACATTCTTCCAAACACATGACCACTCGTACCTATATAATATAGCAAGATTTGGCTTTATAGCTTAGTGATTAATTTCTATAGCATAAAAAAAAGCTAGTGATTAATTTCTATAGCATAAAAAAAAGCTAGTGATTAATTGCAAAGTTCTATAATAAGTTTATATAAAGTACAAAATTTTAGATTAGGCTTACTAGATAGTATTTATATACGAACTATAACTATTTTGAATACGTCTGAAGGCGAAATTTGTATTGCATCTGGGGTACTAGATTAAGAGATTTTTCATATAAAAATATTTACATAGAATATGCCCAGAATATTTTACATTCATAAAAACGTATCTACGTATTGTGTTTTACATTTACGTACGTATTTATATGTCGTACTCTTGACAGAACCGGGTTGTCCTAGATGGGAAGACTTTAGGTTTAGAATTAGGGTTAGAGTTTTGAATAATTTTAGTTAAATTATGCCAAAATTACAAAATTCACATTCAAGACTTTCCCGATTTTGAGTCGGCTAATTCCAATATGGGGTACAACATATACATTATTCTATGCCCAAAATCATCAAAACTTAAATTAACACTAAAATCTAATCTTTAAAAATATATATATATTAAGAACATAGTAAAACATATAATAGAAACAAAAACTTTGTACTGTAGGTATATTTTATAATATAATAAAAATTGATTAAACCAATTAAATTAATAGGCACAATATTCATGTACTGTGTGTATAAACAGAAATCGTTATTGTTTTAATTTTTATAGTAAGATTTGATTAAGTTTAGTAATATCCTTTTATTTATTTATAATCAATTTCAGAACATTTATAAGCGATCACAAACGATAGTGATTTAAAAGGAAATTGTGAAATATTTCAAATTAATCGGATGAGCAAATATTTATAATCATGAATCATTTAAAAAGATCATTCTTGTTTGAATCATATACTTGCGTTTTTATTTTGGTCCGTGTGCATTGAAAAACAATCATAAATATGTAATAGTTTTCATATATGATAACATGTTTGATGAATGAATTATATTTTCTTTAGGTCATGAGCATACTTTTACAACATTGACTTTTTTTATTACTGTGACACGAATTGGTCACAGTTAAGAAACCTTTTCTAGAAACTGATGATTATTGATAATCGATAAGAATGTTTATCTTTTACAGGTCACGTTCATGCATATAAATTTTTTTTTACCATTAGTATTATTATTTTATTATTATTTTATTATTATTAGTTTTTTTTTTTTTTAACAATGGTTTCCGTGACTCGCACCTTAATTCTGTGTTTTAATCTTATGTAATTGTTTTTGTAGTGACAAAGAATATAAATAAGATGATTTGATGAATGGATAATGACTTATCGAACCAAAACTGAGGAAATTGCCACGAGAAACTAATAGCCTAATTCACGTGATGCAAACAATGGCATATGATCTATGTATTTGTAAATGGTGAATCTAAAATCCAATTTTTTCATTGTGCGTTTTATTTAGATGGTTAGTTTACTGGTCATATGTTCATGTACTCAATTCATGGTTTTGTGGACATATCACGTGATAGAATTATTATATACGTAATAGGTATATACAGTATATAATATGTAGTGGTCTTTTTTTACCATTTTGATTTGATCATTTTCATATTACTAACACAAACCAAAGGAATCTTTATGATGTAAACATATTATAGAAGGCATATGTTACAAAAACTAGCCATGAACCATAAGTATGTGTGAAATAGCCGCAGCATACTATATATATTCAAGGGAACCTAGTTACCTAAGTCATGGGACGCATTTATTATATCTTTTATGGAAATTAATCAATGACCAATGAGAACAAAAACTGTTTAATCTTTTTACTAATGTTAAGACTCCGAAAACCTAGAATATATATATGTTTATTATTTATTTATTTATTAAATGGAATAAATTTAATTATTAATAACTGTCTTTTTTTTTTATTTATTTTATTTTATTTTATTTATTTTATTTTTATTTATTTATTATTATGATTTTTTTTTTTTTTTTTTGACAGGAGTAAACACTCCGTTATCCGGATATTGTACTTTCTTGTTATGTTTGTTTGGTCATGCTTGAAGAGTTTCCACCAAAGAACACGTTGGATGATGGAACATGAAATCGAGTCGAAACGCTTAGCGTTTATATCATCCACCTTGTGACCCTAAAAACTTTCTTTGTCCTTAGATACTTCGGTTAATCACGAGACAATTCTTAAGAATTTATAAAATGAACGTGCCGTCATCTTCGTTTTTTGATAAACTTTATCAATCCGAGAAAGTTTTTAAGCTATTAATATATATATATATATCTTATTAAGAATATTTAAGCACAATTATGGTATCAGTGTATTCGAATAATGTGACGACAGTTTCGGAAAAGAGTACGAAACCTTTTGAAAAGGAGACGAAAGAGGTAAAGCTATAATTCAATCCCGAAAATCAAATAAATTACTATTACATTACATGAAATCTAAACGTGTTTTTTATTTTTTAACAATATAGAAGGTAACATTATAATTCAAGATATAATGACAATACTTGCCGCCCAAATCCCAAACTATTCAAATCCCAAACTCTGGCTAAACTAATATCTAAACAACTTTATTAATAATCTTTACTTAAATAGATGGCATATATCTTCATAGCTATGTATAATATATTGCAAAATATAAGATCACTTTTTTGATTTAATTTTTGTAAAGAGCAATTGTATTTTTTGGGTTTGGGGTTTGTCCGGGTTTTGCCAGCAAGTATAATGATGACGTCAATGAAATTAAAAAATTTATTAACATATACTTACGTATATATAGCGTCTCACCAAACGATTCTCTAGAGAGGTAACTTTTATAATTAAATTTTAAATCAAAAACATATAACGGTAAAGCAAAATTTATTTACAATTAAATTTTAATATATATCTGATATAGGAAGATGAAAAGTTAATATCACTAGTACAAACATACGGTGCTAAAAAATGGAATTATATAGCAAATTTCATGGGCAATAGAAATGCTAAGCAGTGCCGTGAACGATGGGATAGTCATCTTAAACCCGGAAGTATGTTATTAATTTATTTATTATATATTATCAGATATCAAATATTTTATAGTCTTTAACAATAAAAAATAATGTATTTACAGTTAGGAAGGCTAATCAGATACCATTTACATCACTTGAAGAAAAGATAATTATGGAATCGCATTCTAAAGGAGAAAAATGGGCAAAAATTGCTTTAAAACTTGGTAACGGACGAACATCCAATGATATTAAAAACGCATTTAACCAAAGACTTAGCAAGCGTAAAACAATCAGGATGTCTATTCACTACTTATTAAACAAATAATCCATAAACTATATGAATCACTATAGGTATACTTGTCGTCCAAACTATTATAGTTTGCCACGCCCAAATCCTAGTCCCATCCTAGTCCCATCCTAGTCCCAAACTCGGGATAAACTAATCTCTAAAAAACTTTATTAATAATCTTTATCTAAACAAATTAAACATATTCTTATAGTTATATAGATTTTGGTAGAAAGTATAACTATAGGAATTACTTACTATAGGGAATCACTATATAGATTTTGGCGGAAAGTATAACTATAGGAATAACTTACTATAGTGAATCACTATAGGAATCAATAGGACTATAGGAATTTAATATACTTGCTATATTCAGGCAGTCAGGAAGGCAAAATCGCGATCGATTCGCACTAGGCAACAAACGATATATATAATATTTATAGTACGATATAAATCATTATATAACAGTGTATAATTAGTTGTAAATTTTAGGTTTCTCAATATTGGTAAGGACTTTATGATACTTTCATAACCTAAGAAGGGAATATTTAGACGTGACTTTGTTATGAAGGATAGAATGGAAATGTTTATAAGATAAAAATAAATTTGTATGGGGTTACTTTTTT